GTAGGGTGTACCTGGCAGGTGTAGGGTGTACCTGTCAGGTGTACGGTGTACCTGGCAGGTGTAGGGTGTACCTGTCAGGTGTAGGGTGTACCTGTCAGGTGTATGGTGTACCTGGCAGGTGTATGGTGTACCTGGCAAGTGTACAGTGTACCTGGCAGGTGTATGGTGTACCTGGCAGGTGTACGGTGTACCTGGCAGGTGTACGGTGTACCTGGCAGGTGTAGGGTGTACCTGGCAGGTGTAGGGTGTACCTGTCAGGTGTAGGGTGTACCTGTCAGGTGTAGGGTGTACCTGTCAGGTGTAGGGTGTACCTGTCAGGTGTAGGGTGTACCTGTCAGGTGTAGGGTGTACCTGGCAGGTGTAGCGTGTAACTGGCAGGTGTACTTGCGTACCTGGCAGGTGTAGGGTGTACCTGTCAGGTGTACGGTGTACCTGTCAGGTGTAGGGTGTACCTGTCAGGTGTAGGGTGTACCTGTCAGGTGTAGGGTGTACCTGGCAGGTGTAGGGTGTACCTGGCAGGTGTAGGGTGTACCTGGCAGGTGTACGATGTACCTGACAGGTGTACGATGTACCTGGCAGGTGCTGGGTGTACCTGGCAGGTGTACCTGGCAGGTGTAGGGTGTACCTGGCAGGTGTAGCGTGTAACTGGCAGGTGTAGGGTGTACCTAGCAGGTGTAGGGTGTACCTGGCACGTGTACCATGTACCTGGCAGGTGTAGGGTGTACCTAGCAGGTGTAGGGTGTACCTAGCAGGTGTAGGGTGTACCTGGCAGGTGTAGGGTATACCTAGCAGGTGTAGGGTGTACCTAGCAGGTGTAGGGTGTACCTGGCAGGCGTACAGTGTACCTGGCAGGTGTAGGGTGTACCTAGCAGGTGTAGGGTGTACCTGGCAGGTGTAGGGTGTACCTAGCAGGTGTAGGGTGTACCTGGCAGGTGTACGGTGTACCTGGCAGGTGTAGGGTATACCTAGCAGGTGTAGGGTGTACCTAGCAGGTGTAGGGTGTACCTGGCAGGTGTACGGTGTACCTGGCAGGTGTACGGTGTACCTGGCAGGTGTAGGGTATACCTAGCAGGTGTAGGGTGTACCTAGCAGGTGTAGGGTGTACCTGGCAGGTGTACCGTGTACCTGGCAGGTGTAGGGTATACCTAGCAGGTGTAGGGTGTACCTAGCAGGTGTATGGTGTACCTGGCAGGTGTACGGTTTACCTGGCAGGTGTAGGGTATACCTAGCAGGTGTAGGGTGTACCTAGCAGGTGTAGGGTATACCTGGCAGGTGTAGGGTGTACCTGGCAGGTGTACGGTGTACCTGGCAGGTGTAGGGTATACCTAGCAGGTGTAGGGTGTACCTAGCAGGTGTAGGGTGTACCTGGCAGGTGTACGGTGTACCTGGCAGGTGTAGGGTATACCTAGCAGGTGTAGGGTGTACCTGGCAGGTGTACAGTGTACCTGGCAGGTGTAGGGTGTACCTAGCAGGTGTGGGGTGTACCTGGCAGGTGTAGGGTGTACCTGGCAGGTGTAGGGTGTACCTGGCAGGTGTAGGGTGTACCTGGCAGGTGTACGGTGTACCTGGCAGGTGTAGGGTATACCTAGCAGGTGTAGGGTGTACCTAGCAGGTGTAGGGTGTACCTGGCAGGTGTACGGTGTACCTGGCAGGTGTAGGGTATACCTAGCAGGTGTAGGGTGTACCTAGCAGGTGTAGGGTGTACCTGGCAGGTGTAGGGTGTACCTGGCAGGTGTACGGTGTACCTGGCAGGTGTAGGGTATACCTAGCAGGTGTAGGGTGTACCTAGCAGGTGTAGGGTGTACCTGGCAGGTGTACGGTGTACCTGGCAGGTGTAGGGTATACCTAGCAGGTGTAGGGTGTACCTAGCAGGTGTAGGGTGTACCTGGCAGGTGTAGGGTGTACCTGGCAGGTGTACGGTGTACCTGGCAGGTGTAGGGTATACCTAGCAGGTGTAGGGTGTACCTAGCAGGTGTAGGGTGTACCTGGCAGGTGTAGGGTGTACCTGGCAGGTGTACGGTGTACCTGGCAGGTGTAGGGTATACCTAGCAGGTGTAGGGTGTACCTAGCAGGTGTAGGGTGTACCTGGCAGGTGTACGGTGTACCTGGCAGGTGTAGGGTATACCTAGCAGGTGTAGGGTGTACCTAGCAGGTGTAGGGTGTACCTGGCAGGTGTACGGTGTACCTGGCAGGTGTAGGGTGTACCTGGCAGGTGTAGGGTGTACCTGGCAGGTGTAGTGTGTACCTGGCAGGTGTAGGGTGTACCTGGCAGGTGTAGGGTGTACCTGGCAGGTGTTAATGGTATTAGTGATAATATTATAAGAGTTATTTAATATGTGTCCCCGCAGGACACGTGAGAGAAGGTCAGGTCAGTGTCCGCTCCCACAGTAACGACCTGGAGGAGTCCCGCGTTGGTCTGGACCTGTCCTCTCCCACCATCACCCTCCCCCACAGTATGTATCACCCCCACCCTCCCCCCACAGTATGTATCACCCCCACCCTCCCCCACAGTATGTATCACCCCCACCATCACCCTCCCCCACAGTATGTATCACCCCACCCCCACCCTCCCCCACAGTATGTATCACCCCCACCATCACCCTCCCCCACAGTATGTATCACCCCCACCACCACCCTCCCCCACAGTTTGTATCACCCCCACCATCACCCTCCCCCACAGTATGTATCACCCCCACCACCACCCTCCCCCACAGTATGTATCACCCCCACCATCACCCTCCCCCACAGTATGTATCACCCCCACCATCACCCTCCCCACAGTATGTATCACCCCACCCCCACCCTCCCCCACAGTATGTATCACCCCCACCATCACCCTCCCCCACAGTATGTATCACCCCCACCACCACCCTCCCCCACAGTGTGTATCACCCCCACCATCACCCTCCCCCACAGTATGTATCACCCCCACCACCACCCTCCCCCACAGTATGTATCACTCCCCACCATCACCCCCCCCCACAGTATGTATCACTCCCACCATCACCCTCCCCCACAGTATGTATCACTCCCACCATCACCCTCCCCCACAGTATGTATCACCCCCCCACCATCACCCTCCCCCACAGTATGTAACACCCCCACCCTCCCCCACAGTATGTATCACCCCCACCATCACCCTCCCCCACAGTATGTATCACCCCCACCCTCCCCCACAGTATGTATCACCCCCCACCATCACCCTCCCCCACAGTATGTATTACCCCCACCATCAACCTCCCCCACAGTATGTATCACCCCCACCATCACCCTCCCCACAGTATGTATCACCCCCACCACCACCCTCCCCCACAGTATGTATCACCCCCACCCTCCCCCACAGTATGTATCACCCCCACCATCACCCTCCCCCACAGTATGTATCACCCCCACCACCACCCTCCCCCACAGTATGTATCACCCCCACCATCACCCTCCCCCACAGTAGGTATCACCCCCACCCTCCCCCACAGTATGTATCACCCCCACCATTACCCTCCCCCACAGTATGTATCACCCCCACCACCACCCTCCCCCACAGTATGTATCACCCCCACCATCACCCTCCCCCACAGTATGTATCACTCCCACCATCACCCTCCCCCACAGTATGTATCACCCCCACCATCACCCTCCCCCACAGTATGTATCATCACCCCCACCCTCCCCCACAGTATGTATCACCCCCACCATCACCCTCCCCCACAGTATGTATCACTCCCACCACCACCCTCCCCCACAGTATGTATCACCCCCACCCTCCCCCACAGTATGTATCACCCCCACCATCACCCTCCCCCACAGTATGTATCACCCCCACCATCACCCTCCCCCACAGTATGTATCACTCCCACCACCACCCTCCCCCACAGTATGTATCACTCCCACCACCACCCTCCCCCACAGTATGTATCACTCCCACCATCACCCTCCCCCATAGTATGTATCACTCCCACCATCACCCTCCCCCACAGTATGTATCACCCCCACCCTCCCCCTCCCCCACAGTATGTATCACCCCCACCATCACCCTCCCCCACAGTATGTATCACCCCCACCATCACCCTCCCCCACAGTATGTATCACTCCCACCATCACCCTCCCCCACAGTATGTATCACCCCCACCCTCCCCCTCCCCCACAGTATGTATCACCCCCACAGTATGTATCACCCCCACCATATGTATCACCCCCACCCTCCCCCTCCCCCACAGTATGTATCACCCCCACCATATGTATCACCCCCACCCTCCCCCTCCCCCACAGTATGTATCACCCCCACCATATGTATCACCCCCACCCTCCCCCTCCCCCACAGTATGTATCACCCCCACCCTCCCCCACAGTATGTATCACCCCCACCATATGTATCACCCCCACCATATGTATCACCCCCACAGTATGTATCACCCCCACCATATGTATCACCCCCACCATATGTATCACCCCCACCATATTTATCACCCCCACAGTATGTATCACCCCCACCATATGTATCACCCCCACCATATGTATCACTCCACCATATGTATCACCCCCACAGTATGTATCACCCCCACAATATGTATCACCCCCACAGTATGTATCACCTCCACTATATATCCACCCCCCCACCATATGTATCACCCCCCCCCCACCATATGTATCACCCCCACCATATGTATCATCCCCACCATATGTATCACCCCCACCATATGTATCACCTCCACAGTATGTATCATCCTCTCCATATGTATCACCCCACTATATCACCCCCACCATATGTATCACCCCCACAGTGTGTATCACCCCTACAGTATGTATCATCCTCACCATATGTATCACCCCCACAGTATGTATCATCCTCTCCATATGTATCACCCCCACATCCACATATACATGGGTGGGAGTATACATGCATGGGTATACATGGATGTGGTATACATGGGTGGGGGTATACATGGGTGGGGGTATACATGGATGGGGGGTATACATAGTGTAACAAGTGTTTCCTTCACAAGCTGCCAGTGTGGAGGTGAAGAGACTCTCAGAGCAGGCCAAGTGGGACCTGCTGCTCTACTACTACTGCTACTGTTATGGTGAGCAGGAGCTGCCTCCTGCTGCTGCTGCTGCTGCTGCCCCTGCTGGTGACCCTGCTGGTCCTCCTGCCCCTGCTGGTGACCCTGCTGGTGACCCTGTTGGTCCTCTTGCCCCTGCTGGTGACCCTGCTGGTGACCCTGCTGGTGACCCTGCTGGTGACCCTGTTGGTCCTGCTCCTGCCCCTGCTGCTGCCAGTACTGTTCCTTCTCCTATTGGTGAGTCTGTGGCTTCTACCCCCTGCTCCTCCTGTTGATTCCTACTTGATGGAGTTCTGGGAGTTCTTCTACTCCCCAAGCCCGGCCCGAGGCTAGGCATGACCTGTGAGAGTTTGGTCCACCAGGCTGTTGCTTGGAGCGGCCCGCATACCCAATGCAGCCCGGTTGCTCCGGCACTTCTTGAAGAAAACTATCTAGTTTTCTCTTGAAGATGTCTACGGTTGTTCCGGCAATATTTCTTATGCTCGCTGGGAGGACGTTGAACAACCGCGGTCCTCTGATGTTTATACAGTGTTCTCTGATTGTGCCTATGGCACCTCTGCTCTTCACTGGACCTCTGATGTTTATACAGTGTTCTCTGATTGTACCTATGGCACCTCTGCTCTTCACTGGACCTCTGATGTTTATACAGTGTTCTCTGATTGTGCCTATGGCACTTCTGCTCTTCACTGGACCTCTGATGTTTATACAGTGTTCTCTGTGCCTATGGCACCTCTGCTCTTCAATGAACCTCTGATGTTTATACAGTGTTCTCTGATTGTGCCTATGGCACCTCTGCTCTTCACTGAACCTCTGATGTTTATACAGTGTTCTCTGATTGTGCCTATGGCACCTCTGCTCTTCACTGGTTCTATTCTGCATTTTCTTCCATATCGTTCACTCCAGTATGTTGTTATTTTACTGTGTAGATTTGGGACCTGGCCCTCCAGTATCTTCCATGTGTATATTATTTGGTATCTCTCTCGTCTCCTTTCTAGTGAGTACATTTGGAGAGCTTTGAGACGATCCCAATAATTTAGGTGCTTTATCTCGTCTATGCGTGCCGTATATATTTTCTGTATTCCCTCTATTTCAGCAATCTCTCCTGCTCTGAAGAGGGAAGTGAGTACTGATCAGTACTTAAGACAGCACAGCACAAGTGATTTAAATAATACAACCATTGTGATGGGTTTGAAAGTTCTCGTAATCCATCCTATCATTTTTCTGGCTGACGCAATATTTGCTTGGTTATGCTCCCTAAACGTTAGGTCGTCAGACATCATTATTTCCAAATCCTTGACATGCTGTTTTCCTACTATGGGCAGATTCGATTGTGTTTTGTACTCTGTATTATGTTTCAGATCCTCATTTTTACCATACCTGAGTACATGGAATTTATCACTGTTAAACATCATGATATTTTCTGCTGCCCAGTCGAAAACTTTATTAACATCTGCTTGTAGTTTTTCAATGTCTTCAGCAGAGGTAATTTTCATACAGATTTTTGTGTTATCTACAAAGGATAATACTAAGCTATGACTTGTATTTGAGTCTTTATCTGATATGAGAATAATGAAAAGCAGTGGTGCAAGGACTGTACCTTGAGGTACGTTAGCTGCTTTCCAAATATCTGGCAGTTCCCCTGTTGCCAGTGATTTGCTATACACTACGGAGAGTGGTAGGCACAGTTCTTTTGCTCCTTCTTTTAGTTCCCAAGGGGAGATTCCATCTGGGCCTATAGCCTTTGTCACATGCAACTCTAGTACACACTTCCTTACTTCCCCGCTGGTAATCTCCACCTTGAGGTACAACGATTTTAACTGCTATTGGACTCGATTTTATATGGTCTACTGTTACTCTTTGTATTCTGTTCGACAGAAAAATGAGTATCCAGCGTCCTACTTTACCAGTTATTCCTATTGACCTCATTTTGTGTGGTATCACTCCATGGTCACATTTGTCGAATGCGTTTGCAAAGTCTGTGTATACCACATCTGCATTCTGTTTTTCTTCTAATGCCTCAGTGATTTTGTCGTAATGGTCAAGTAGCTGTGAGAGGCATGGTCTTCCTGCTCTAAATCCATGTTGGCCTGGGTTGTGGAGGTCATTGGATTCCATGAAACTAATGACCTGACTCCTGATCACTCTCTCAAATACTTTTAATATGTGGAACGTTAGTTCAACTGGTCTATAATTCTTTGCCAATGTCTTCCTCCCTCCCTTGTGTAGAGGGGCTATGTGTGCTGCTTTAAGCGCATCTGGTATCTCCCCCCCGAGTCCAAGCTCTTCCTCCACACAATACTGAGTGCCTGTGCTACTGGCACCTTGCATTTCTTTATAAAAGAGTCTGAATAGATGAATTTCACAAGTCTGGACCCGGGGCTGAGTGCATGGGCATGTTGTCAATTTCTTTTTCAAACTCTGCCACGCTCGTGTTGATATCAGT